CAGACCAACAATGGTAGACTATCTAGAGTCTGTTTAATGCCGTTGTTGCCCCTAGTCACCTCACAACTCGATACAGAAATATGGGGGTATAGTCCATGATTAAGTACCATTCTATGAATATCATCAATACCCAAAATGAATTGTTTTACTGTCTTACTGTGTTTGATTTCTGGAATTCAATCTAAGACATCTCTTACTCTAATAGTCACTTAGAGACTGTGGTTTTTAATTGAACAACTGAAAATATGCACCATTGTGACCATTAGGACGAATTGGAGATAGCTGCACACAAAGTGGAATGACTGGACCCATTGAGGTGTTTGTTTGGGTTCTCTTCCCTTATCATGGCTCCATTCCAGTGGCTACAGAAGGTCAGACTGACCCATTTAACAAACTGGTCACGATAGGAGGGATAAAAGAGGGGTGATAAACAGAACGAAGGAGAAAACAGGCTCATAAGTTACCGTCACAACACAGCAGGTGAATGGTAATGTTAATGGTAATTTCAAGAACATGTAACTGGTAGAACTGTGCTATTAGCGGTAATTTCTCACCCTTTTCTGAAGTGGAGTAATAAATCTAGTACTGCTGGGTCATAAAGACAAAGACGCTTTTCATCAGCTTCTAAAAGTGACTCTAACTGGCATCTGTTCTTTGTCCTTTTAAGAGTGTCTGATAAGACCAGCCAGATAAAGCTGACTGACCGCCGGGGGGGGGCACAGCAGAGGACATAAAAAGATAGAGGAGTGATACTGAGGTTAACAGGCATTGAAGTTTATATAGTTATTCTATATCTGTGTTTTTAAAATGATAAAGGGTTTTAACTTAAAGGTAATGCTCATTTCGTAATTTGGTCTCTGAGTGTTATGTTACTATTATGGAACTTTGATCAAATCTTCAATATAAAATATACACAATAGATCATCTTGTTGCCAAAATTCTTTCCTTTAGTTGTTTAGAGCTAACCTTCAGCTAATTGTACTTTCTCTGTGTCCGTCTATGTAACACAAACAGCTCTTGCCTTTGAGAATGTCAAAGGGATTTGCACTGGCAGTAACAAACATAAACACATGTATTATACCAAATTTAAACATAATCATCCTCTTTCAGTGCAGATTGAAGGTATTTACTCTCTGAGACAATTTTGGGAGCAGATCTATTTTTGCTTCCAGTTTAAGAATTAGAAGAATGTGTAAAGTTAGCTTTCAGAATACTCTGCAAGTGTGATGTGAAACATGAAGGTGATATTAAATGGAAATAAGGAAATCTTTATATTTTTTAATTATTAGAAAGCCAATATTTCTTAGGGAAATGGTATTTATAGATTGTGCATTCATTAGGTTCATAGAATATTGTTTGATAAACAACATTTCTAAATATAATTTAAGAATTTTTGCACCAAAAGTACCAAATCACTCACTCATTGGGGTTCTGTATGTTGGTCAAGGCATTTTTGTCTGTTTTCAAATCCTAGCCTATTCACACCAATACATTTCTTTGGTAACATTTGGAAGAAAATGTATCTTTAGGACTAATTTTGCTGTTCTGTACTTGCATTTTTGTGATGTATTGCTAATCCTACTTGAGTGAATCTATCACTATGTAGTTGGCCCACTGTGAGTAACGAGCTATTCAGAGATCAGGTGAAAATGCAGTAAACAGTAGATATTGAGTAAAAGTGCTGGCACTCGTCGAAAATATGTATTTCTCACTGTAAGGAATGGTTTTATACATTTAATGATGGAAAAACTGGATTTGGAAAAGTGTTTCTTTTGTATGAATTTGTAATTTTGTAATCATTTTATTTATTTATATTTTTGTATATATTTTAGTCTTTAAAACACCAGAACTTTCACATAATGTTTGTTTGACTGCATCTTCTATAAACATTTAATCAGATTTTAGGTGCCAACAATTACTCAGTTGTTGGGTAGCCTATTTACCAAATACATGGAGAAACAAAACAAAACATTTTCAGTAACTTATTGGATGACTACATTTTACCACTAAAAACATTTTGAAGTAGTGCTGCTCTTATTTGATTGCAGTTTTTAGGTACTTCCTCTCTGGTCGCCAGTGTTATTTTTGGGAGCCATCTTATATTTAGTCTTAGTTTTTCACCTTCAGAATGAAAACTATTATATGTTTCATTCACATTTTAGTCACTACAATATGTGATATTTTTAGTCGGTTTTAGTCGAGTAAAACTCTAAAAGGTTTAAGTCTAGTTTTAATCAGTTTTATGTTGCAATTAAAAAAACAGTTAACCTTTCAAATTTTGAATAACAAGCAGTTTCCTTACCAGACTGAAACTGAAAGCTCTAGCCTAGATACTACAATAGCTGGGTATAGAATACTGTGCTATATATATATATATATATATATGTAATTTAAACAGAACACTGTCAAACGTTTATAATATAAACTTTATTTTTGTTTTTTTGTTGTTGTTTTTATTCAGAAACTTGATTTAATTTGCATTCCTGGCTCTGTAAAGTTTGATTTTTAATGGGTATTTGTGCCCATTTATTTGCCTTTTCCAATAATATATTTGCCCATAGAGTGTTACCTACTGTAACATGAAAACAATCTTACAGGAACATTTTGCAGTTCACACACAGATCATTTAGGCCACCAACCCTTTAAAGCTGTAGTAGCCCTTGGCAGTATCAGCGAAGTCATTCTACTCCGTGTTTCTGTGTTGGTGGGCTGATGTCATGTACTAGCACTGTTGTTGTATTATTGCTGTCTGACCTTATTCTTAGTTTGTGTGTTGATGTGCCTTGTGTATACTGCATGGAACTGTGTGTCGGCTGCATGTTTAAACACAACACTTCATCCTGATTAGGGCTTTTATCAAGTCCCAGCCCTTTTATTATCTTTTGGAAAATAGCCTGTGTGCTTCCAAGCCCCGCTACAGCTCAGTAATCTCGGTCAGTAAGCATCTATTTCACCTCCTGATTTAAATGTCTTTGTTATTAGAAGGATCCCACTTAGCTGTGCTTTTGCAGAGACTTCAGAAAATGGAAACAAATGGCTTAAACGTTTAAACCTTTTATTTTCAAGGTAAAAACAGTGTAATATTTGGAGCATAATTGGAGAACAATGTATAATAAAGCACAGATAAAAAAAAAAAACAATCTATCTGGGAAAAATGGAAGCTAGTATTAAGCAATATGATATATGTTTTACATTTGGAGCATTTTGTTTGGGGTTTACAAAGCAATCAGAACATTCTTTTTTGTGGGATTTTACTTTTGTCATGCCTGTAAAACGTCCTAAATAACATAAACTCATCCAGAACCATTGGGGCAAACATCTCTGTGCGGCCCTCATCTCTTTATGGGATAATTCCAGATGTGTTTGATGATGAATATGACTTATTCAGATGGAAACCTAACAAAGCGCATTTTATTTACTAACAGATGTGTCCAGCTTAAATGTAATGACCTCTACCTAACTTGGATCTAACTCAGATCTGAGATGGGGCTCTTTGTTGTTTATGTTTATTTATTGTTTATGATTTATGATTTATTCATGGTGTGATGGTTGGTTAAATGTCCTTAGATATATTTAACTCAAAATCACACTGTCTTGTTGTACATAATTTCTCTATGTAAAATTAAAAACTTCTAATTTCTGTAAAATAGAAGGAAAATAATGCAATAATGCATTTCAGTATTAACACATTCAGTAACTACTAACTATTATAGTTTCAGGGCTCTGTTTCAGTTCCCTTGGTCCCATTTAACTCCCTCAAAATAAACCATCTGTAAAAGTCCAGCCACCAGACACTTGTTGATGAGCATTTAACTCAAGACTGGCTCCAGCACATGGCTCCAGCATCACTCCTCCAGGCAAAGTAACTTGGTCCCTTGGTATTTCCGATTGAATTACTTTTAGTCTGTCCTCTCGCCTGACTAACTGCGAGAGGAATCTATCATTTGGAAAACTCCCCAGAAACGGAAGATTCTTGTTAAATGAAGGTGTTAAAAATGCCTCACCATGCAAAATACATATTTTGAGGAGTCAAATAAAAGGAGATCAAATTAATCCCATCCTGTTGCTGTACATGTAACAATGTCCCTTTTGTTAAAGGAGTATTTTACTCCTACAATCCATTTGAAATAAACTTATAATTGATGTTAAATCAATTTCAGGAGCTGGGGAAAAAAAACAGGGCTCATTTTGACCCCTTTCATACCCTTTTCTTTTGTTTGTTTTTTGTTACGCATGAGAATTAGACTTGCAGTAGTTTGTCTACCATAATTTCCTGATGTCTTACAAAATATAGGTAAAAAATTAAATAAACAGCAGCACCTATCGACCAGCAGATGAGTCCCTGATAGTCAGAATCTTTAGTTGGACAGAGGCAGGAGAGCCAGGCAGGCTAATGTCAGGATGCTTCCAGGGCTCACAACACACTTTCAAGCCAGCTCTTGTGGGCATATTTGATTTTCACTACGAGCCCACACAAAATACCCAAGCTCACTCTCCAGAATTTAACCCCTAACCCTAAACCAGCAACTCATATTTTTTACAAATAAAGGTCCAATTTCCTAGTGATGAGTCCTTTAATGCTTCTTTTTTTTTTTGAAGATAATTAGTTTTAAATGAGCAATCTCCAGAAATGTTTATTTTTGTTTGCCATGACATCACAACACTGTACTTTAAGAATGTATTATTGCTGTTCTTCAATGCATTTCCATCGATTGAGTATCTTGGAATGAAAGTTGAATGTTCTTTTCATTCTATCAGTGCCCCAAGTGTTCAAATAATTATTTTCTAATTTGGTCGGAAGATGGATGTAGTTTTTCCGTTGGAGCCTCTTTTAAGTATTCAACATGCCGTGGAGAATCTTCATTAGTGTAGACTGAATATTTGCATCGTGCAGAATGAGATTAAAACTGTTATTTATGGTAATTGCTGATCATTTATTTTTGATATATGTTTTGCCACAGAGAGTAACCCTAAATATATTGCTTTTATTTCCTGTTGCTCTGTGTTTGTAGGTTGCTGTCCAGGATGGCAGGGATGAAGGAGCAGCAGATCACGGAAGAGAAGCCCCTGCTGCTGGAGCAAAAAGGAACGGATGTAGACATGGTCAGTGCCGTTTTTATCATTTGCATGGCTTTTTGTTGCCATTAGTCCTTCCAATCTGGGCATTCGTATGCCATTAGTAAGGGCTTTTAAAAACTCCTGGCATATTAAGAGATGTTTGTGCTCATTATTTGTGATGGCTTACAATTAGGCAATGAGCCTGTTTACCAGCAAAGGAGGAAAATTAATGAACTCTATCCAACCATGAAAGCACTGTGAGAAGATGAGAGCTCATTTAAGCTGTTAGAGGCGAAGAAACAACAAAAAAAAGGGAGGCCATTACATAAACGTCACTTTTTCCAGTCCACTTATCACTGAATAGGCAACAGGTAGAGGTTGAGGCTAAATCCAGGGCTCTTCAATACCATTTGATGCAGAGGCGATAAAAAGGTTGGATTATTCTCTGATGGAAAAGTGACTTGAAGACGCAATAAATACAGAATACGTCTGAAAAGTATATTCCTAATTGTATCTTAAAACCTTTGTAACAACACTTAAGGAAGTTAGTTAGAAACTGTGGAGGAAAAAAAAAGTTGTTTGATCTAATATAATGGCACAGATTATTCACTTATTTTAGGGCATAATCAGAAAAAGCCTATGGAGGAATGACTCAGCAGAGAGTAATTATAATAAATGACAAATCCTGTCTGCTTTCCTTACCCCTAATTTCACTGGGAAGCAGTTACTAAAAGCTGACTAAGGTGTGATTCTTTGTCAAGAATATGATTCATCCAGATAATAAAGGAGCTTAGTTTTTTTTAATGAGAAGTAACAGAATATGCTCTCCATTAGTACAGATCTCATTAACCACCATTGATTGCTGAAAAGGTCATTGAGCCTGCTCATTATAATTCTCTGTTGGTAAATATTGGAGGCCATTGATCCTGTTACATGTTGCATGACTTGACTGGTCACTGTTTTATTCTGTGAATGACCTATTTTCCTCAAGGACACACCCTGATGCCTCCATAAACCACGTTAGAATTTGTAGCTCTGCAGCATAAGTCAACTTTAAAAGCAGTGAGGGATTGTTGGTAACACCAATAATCATCTATGTGTAACAAATTCTTTGTTCAGGTAATATGTAAAAAAAAAAAGAATATATATATATATATATATATATATATATATATAATGATAAAAAAAAAAAAGTGTGGTGGATCGTTGTAAATTAATAAACTGTTCATAACTGCCTCTGGTTTAAAAGCACCTTTTAGGAAGGTATGGTTGGAGAGGCTTCGTGATTTACAGTTGCTTGAGTTGATCAAGATCCACAACTTGTTCCTTGATTCTAATTAAATAAGGTCTGTAAATCTTTAGCCTAACCTTTCTGGTGAAAAGGCAAAGAACAGGGGAAGATGTTTGTTTATTAGGTTTTTAAAGGACACTGTTCTCACCGAGGTTGTGCAAACATGAGAAAAAGAAAATGTTAATCTTGAGCTTCAAGTTTGTGTTGACTGTATGTCACTATCCTGTATGTCCTCTCTGTTGCCCAATAATCACTTTGTTGTGCTTGTTGTTTTGCAACACAGCAGGATAAAGGAGAGGAGGCATCGGGGGAACTCCCGTGCCCCGAAAGCCCCGCGCCCCCTAATGAACCCCCTCCCCCCCGTCGCCCCGCTCACCGCTGGCATGCCTTCGCACGGCACTGGCTTCGCCAGACCCGCCGTCGGACCAGCGGGGTCCTCCCGGTAACTACCAGAACGAGCAGAAACATCTGACTGGCAAAACACAAAATCAAACACACAACGCATTTAAGAAACAGATGAAGATGTGCAGTAGAAATAAACATAAACAAACATTTCAAGATGAATCACTAAATAGGTAAACTAGCTAAATGCTAACATGCCTTATAGAGTCTGAGTGCACGGAAATTAGCCGTTTTAGATAAAATAATAACAAACTTAGAACCAAAATTAAAATGAATTATTTTGATTTAGAGAATTGATGACCAATTTATATATTTCTCAGTTAAAACTAAACTATGATCTCAGCAGAAAAAAGCTGTAAATGAAATATTATGGCATTTTATTTTGATGAATTACCTGCAGAGTCAACTGGCCAATGTTGCTAGCTTAAAAAAGGTATTCCTACTTCAGAAACTGACATAAACTTACAGACACCTACACATAAATCTCACATTTGATCTATAAATGCCTATACTTTACCTTTATCTTCTTAACAAATTGAACTGAAGATCTTACATGTCATATACCTTTGATTAATCTTTTTGGTAATTTATTTAGCTAATATTTATGTAAGGTAGATGAAATATAAATAGTGTTATACAGATGTAATGCAAGTACAACCAAGCCTTTTTAGGTTAACTTGCAGAGGAACTTCTAAAAACCATGATAGAAAAATAAAATGTAATAGGACACAATTTTATATCATGAACTTGAATTTACTAAATTAATACTTTACTAATCCAGTTAGAGTAAATTTGAATCATATCGGAATGAAAAAGTTAGTTACTGATTATTTACAACAATATCTTTTTAAAAGGTTAGGTGCAAACTAAACACAAAGACACTTGTCCAGCTGTAATCTGATTGACCTTACGACTTAAATCCCTCTTAGCCTGCTTTAGTGGCAACAGCCCAGAAAAGAGAACATTTAAAGAATAAGTGAGAGGCCCTGGGTCCAAATCCTGGACAAGCCCCCATTTTGTCACATCCTGGCACTGGGATTGTGACAAAATGAGGGAAAAAGGACAAGAGGACCTGATTTGCTAATATTTATTTTAAAGATGAAATAAATAATTTGAGTGAAAAAATCAAGCATGTGAAAAAAAGTCAAAAAATGTATAATGGTTGAATTGGCTAGACTAAAACACAATAACAACAAGTAAGGGTGGGATATGCCTAATGTCTATTTCCCCTTCTGCAAAACAGTTAGATTTTTTTATTTTATAAAAGGCTAAAGAAACAAACCAGGTGTTTCCAATCAGTGACTGCTGCTCTTCAAAAGAGCCACCTTTGCCGCAGCTCAGTCACTCACCTTACAGGATATCACAATGTTTAGATTGTATTCTTTATCTAGTTGCTGACTTGGTAAAGTAGTAACTCAGAACAAAGAAACAGGGAATAATAAATGAAACACATTTTGTTGAGGGATTTAATTGGTTTCCCTGTGCTAGATACCCTGAAAACCCTAACAGAAAAAATACTTGAAATTAAAGTTTGGTTTCTTGCAAAGCTGAGGTAGATTTTATACTTTAATTATATTGCTTTAATACCCTTTTTGCTTTACATGTTTCATTTGGTTCAACTTGTAGTGAAAAAATGTTGCAAGCAGTGACAGAAATTACAAACAGAATTATAGATTTTATGTCCTCTCTGCACTTATACAAGTCAGTTCTAGATATTACATTAAGATTATTAAATGTATTAAAAAGACATTTAGTATTTTTAAGTGAAAAAAATAGAAAAAGACTGAAATCTAGGCTTAAATCTTTAGTCACAAAACGAACCAAGAAAGGCAGACACAGATCAGGCACCTTAAAGGCACCTTACCATGTAGCTTAGACATTAGCCTCACACCTCTCTGAACTAAGCCTCTTTGTCTGCATAAAGTCTGTGGGTGTGAAACTAAAAAACAAGGGAAGAGTGCCACCTGCTGGTCCGACCATCTTACTGTCATTACTAACATCTTCCCTTTTTTTAACAAAAAATACCTTCTGCATGAAATCCACAAGGATCGAAGTTGGCTAGAAGCTGCACATCAATTTCAAGGATTATCTGAATATTCTCGTACACATACAGTAAATAATTGGAAGAATGCTGCTTTTTATACATCTATCTAATTTGGTAGAAACAAAGCAACATATTGGAAAAGTTAAAAAGTCACTCAGGGTTATCTCATTGTGCAGTTTCTTAGTTTGGGCAGCTTCAGACCCTTTTTTTCTAACTTGTCTCTATTTTCTAGGTCTATCCTTCTTACTATCACCCTTCCTGTCATGTTCTATCATCTTATAATTGCCAAACTAAATTTAACATTGTGTTTCTATAATTAACAACTTTACGTTTGCCTTCATTTTGGAGGTAAGTTAATTATTTTAGGTCTTCTTTCAGAAGCATCTTCAGAAATTCCCACCTGACCTTAGAAATACAGAGCTGTGAATGACTAAAACAGACACAATCCATCTGTTCCAAAAGGGCAGTCCAACCCCACACACACACCATTCATTTTGTTGTTTTTGTCTTATTCAGATTTTTTTTTTTTATGAGTGAACTATTTTTGGTGGAGGCTAACACACATGCTTGTTTTTTTACTCTTTAGCATGTCCTGTTTGTTGTTTTTTATCTCAAAATGAATGTCCTAAAGCAGAATGGTGAGGAATAAATGAATGCAACGTGATATATGTACTTTTTGGTACCGGTAGTTTATTTTTTCACTTTGTTTCAAATATTACAGCTAATGTATCTTTTAATTATGAAAAACAAAATTACATACTAAAGTTTTCAGTAAAAATGAAAAACTAATTTTAAAATAGTCTAATGAATTAAACGTCATTTAAAAAAACAAATATTTTTAATAATGAGTATAATTATTTAACTCTATATTTATATATAAATATAGAGTGAAATGTATTTTATAGAGGTTATTTTTTGGCGTCACAGGCTAAAAAGTGTAGGAGCTTATTTCCTGAAAGATTTCAAGGCTTTTATTTTTTTATGCTGCTTGTCTTTCAAAAGAGTTAATTACCGACTGATATGAATTAATAATATATCAGTTAATAAGAAAAGTTAGCATTTGAGTGAGAAATGAAATAAATGCCGAAAAACATTTGACAATTATAGACATTATATATTGTATATTTAATTGATCTGCATTTTAAGATTCAAATGAGCGATAATAATAATTTACTCAAAAATTGTATCTAAATATTTTTTGAGTCAAAAAGCGACATTGAGAGCAATATTTCACTGAGTTATGGCCTATTGTATAACCTGGCTTAAGAAAGATGATCTCATAACATGTTATTTAAATTTTTTGGAGCTATCAAGAAAGTTGTCTTAGTCATTTGATTTGGCTTTGACTTGCTATTTATATTTATTTATAGTGTTAATACCCCTTAAACTCTCATATTGTGTCACTATTATTTTGTCCTGACTTCTCAATTTCCGTTACATGCTTTAAGGCGGGAATTTCCAGTTTCTGAGGGCTGCTATCCTGCAGCTTCTAGATTTGTCCTTGGTTAAACACACCTGAATCAAACAGCTGAATCAGCACCTCAGTCTGCTGTCAGTTTCTTCAGTCCATCTATTTACTTGATTCAGGTGTTTTGGACCAAGGACACATCTAAAAGTTTTAGAATAGTAGCCCTCAGGAACTGGAACTGCCCACCCCTGCTTTAACGTATAAATTTTTGCCAAGTTTGTATGTTGGGGAAAAAAATAATTAAATGGTAAAACAATTTAAGAACATTTAACAGTGTTCTCCACCAGAGCTGTTGTTTTTCCGTCTATAACACCAGTTTGGCATTAGTCTGTGACTCCAGATGGATCAGCCCAAATGGTGTCACTTTTAACTTTTACTTCTTTTTACTTCTCTGAGTTTTGTTAGGAACTAATTTTGTTACAAAAAAAAGAAAATATTTCAATTAGCACACATATATCTGAAAATTATCAGTGTTTTATATTAAATATTCAGACTATTATTCCCTCCTTGCTAGATGATTTAGATGATCTAGATTGATTAGACAGGTAGATGGAAAAAAAAAGATTGTTTTAGGTTTTTGAGGTGAGTTTTTCAACACTTAAAAATAATTTTACTTATCTGCTGTAGATATGATCATTATAATTCCCATTAAGGTGCCCTGTTTCCGCTAATACTCTAAGGGCCTGATACTCTAAGACTCCAAATAACGAGCACTAAATTGCATGCGTAATAATTTGTTTGCCCTTGTATGTTATAGTTGGAACTGGTTCAGTTCTGACAATGAAAATGAGCAGATTACATATTCTACTGGCAGTCTGAGAGTGGCCGTTAAAGAAAGATGAGGTTCTAAGCCACAGAGATGAAGGTGATAAAAATTATTAATTAAAAATATTATAACAGTAATATTAAATAACATTTATGGTGCACTTCAAATAAGTAGCGTTTCTTAAAGTGGTATAAACAAAAATAAAAAAACATAAAATTATGAAAAAAACTGAAGTTAAAGCTAGATAAAGAAAAATTACAATACCATAAAATTTACAATACTTAAGTTTAGTTATTTTTTTAGTTTAATTGTATAAAGATTCAGCGGATTAATTTTAACACACCTTCATAGACTTATTTTCTTTAGTAATATCATTCTACTTTTGTCATTTCTGACAGTCCAAATATGTTTACATGCGCACAGAATATCTCTCCATCGTCTGACTTTGTACCAAGGCATCCTTTGTGGCAAGAAAAGTTAAGTTTCAGATTTGGAAAATCTCTTTGCACGTGGTCAATGTTACATTTGCATATCCTCCACACATGAATCTGTGCAGGTTGGTCATTAGAAAATGATCTGCGTATTGATGAAGGAACTCATGCAATAAATGGTCTGCTGAATTCTAAATGCAAATCACTTTGCATCTTTTTTTCAAAGATTTGCTTTGTGCATAAGAACAAGTTTGCACCTTTTTTAAGATGCAAACCATCTGAAGATCAGGCCCTACATGACCGAGCAAAAAAAAAAAAGAAAATCTCTTAACCTCATTAAAGAATGAACCTTCTAGTTACATCATGGCAAACGTTGCTTCAGGTGTCTTGAATAACAAAGTATTTGCTTTGTTAGGATGTCATCAGCTTTCTTTTCTTACTTATTTTTTGGTAAAAATCTATTTTCATTTGAATTAAAAAAGTATTTTGTGTAATTCTTTTTGGTAAACCCGAAACTCTCATTGAGTACAATTCCATTTTTACAAGCAAGAGAAGGCTAAAACATCCAAATACTTTATGGGGCTAATATTTAAAAGGCATGATATACTCTTTCTGCACCTTAAGAAAGCAATTGATGGTAGATAAATATGCATGTTTTTTGCTGCTAAGGTCCCCTAGTTTTTTTTTTTTTTTCATTTTTGGACCTACAGATCACTGCTTTCACCGCTCTACAATGATAGATGCCCCACTCCGTATCTAAAGTCAAATCAACTTTTCTCATTCTAATGTAATAGTTTTTATGTTTTATGTGCTTTTCTCCCTGACCAGGAAAACCCTGAGCAGCTGATGCCACCAGGCGACTGGAAGGTACGAACCATCTCACCCATCTCTTCTTAAATTAATGTTATTTCTATTCACTTTGTCTGTAGCATTAAATCTTTATCCCTTGGATTTGCTAACTTTTGTATATGTGAATAATATGTTTATCAATAGATTACTAAATGTAATGATAAATATATAATTTTAAGGCTTAATATGATCACTGCCTGAGATTTAAGATGCTGTTCTGAATGTGAGGTGGAGCCAGGGCTGGACCGCCCATTCAAGGCATACTCCTGGTTCGGCTTGCCTCCATTTTTGGGCTGGGCCGAGGCAATCATAATGTAAACAAAAACATATCTAGCATTACCTATTTAATATATTAGCCTTATCAAATTATTTTTAAATAAATCATATCCACAATGATGGTGATACATGACTCTCAGACCACCTTCTTTTAAAGCTGTCTTGTTTTGATCAAAATTGCACAAGATAGTCATATCTACATTCATGTTGCATAACTTGCAAGAACCAAGTTATCCATCATTATTGTAGGTATGTCTATCGTGTGCAATTTTGAGAAAAACAAGACAGACATACCTACATAATGGTGGATAACTTGCAAGAACCAAGATTTGCTTTTCCAAAGCGATTTTTTTATCTGCTGGGCCATTAGGAGATCAATTAAATATGCAGCTAAAAATAAACATTACCTCCTATTAATATTGGCTTCATGTTTACATAAAAATAAAAAAAAATCAATAATAATTTGGTTTTGTATATTTTCCATTATTGTCTTGAAAATACTAGAATTTACACATAAAAATATCCATTTGATAAGATCACATATGATTAGCAACTCAAGATCTAAATAGCACATTTACCAATTTCTTCGATTTTTAAATTTTTTTTTTTTACACCTGCTTAATTTCTGTTGCTACATATTTCCACTCAACGTACGCATTGTCCTGTGGTATGATCCATATCTCCCCATAAAAATATAACTAATATTTGTTGGCCACCATGCTCCAGTCCAGTCATTCATAGAGCTAAATAAATTAAATTACAAAAAAACAGAGAGCATGTTACTGCATTTTATGGAGTGTGCAGTTTATCTTTATCTATTTAAGAGCTATCACATACAGAACATGTTTTCAGTTGTCTTCTTGTTTTATCCAGAATGTGAAATGGAAGGGGGAAAACATGCAATAATAGATCTTGACATCTGAAATTGAACTCTGGATGGCTGTTTTAAGGACAACATAGCCTCCCTGTGTGGTCTTCCCTTTGCACCACTTGCCATGACTTTCACTCGTTGTGTCAAATCTTTGAAACTAAGTCTGTGCCCGAACATCCACCCTAACCCCTAAATCCCTCAATCACTACGTAGAGCAGGGACTATATAAGTGGGTTTATAGTGAACTCAGTTAACCGAATTAGATGATCTTTACATTTTGCTTCTCATTGGTCACGTGACTCTGGCTCCCCGCACACTGCCTGTGCCATCTTTGTTATTTGTTGATGCTGTCAGGTAGAGAAAGCCTATGGCGACAAAATTCAGCATTCTGAGATATATCTGCTCGTCTAGTGACCAGAGATGATACCTACTTTTCAAGGTGCATTGTGGGAAATTTTTAGTCCACTACTTTTTCATCCACTAGATGTTTAGACACTAATTTAAAATGGATTAACCACTACATAGTGCCCTAGTGATTAGGGCAGATATTGGGACACAGCCTACGTCTTGTGGAGTTGCAATCAGTAGTGAATATCTTCCCTGCAGAAGAGCTAGCAGCTACTTAGAAAAGAGGCCGTTCTTGAAGAAAACATAACAAAAGAATAAGAAAACAAATACTGTAATATAAATTTCAATTATCATTACAGCTTAAGGAATATTTTTCTTTCATTTTTTGGCCTTCTTATGTGTATATTTTGGCATGTGTAATTACAAAGAAGCTCGGCAAGACAAATAGCACATTTCAGTAGGAAGACAATTCATAGTGCAGTATAAAAATTCATTTTAAAATGGAGAAAAAGAAAATTTCTATTTCAGCTGCAACAAAAATCTTCATAAATAAAACAAATAATAAAAACAAACAAAAGCTTGTATGATTAACAGTTACTGTATCCAGCAGAGAGTGATATAGACCCTGGCTGTTCACCAAATTCTGTATCCATCAAGTTCTTTATCCAATCAACTCAGGGAAAAATTGAATGGAGGGAAAAAGTATGACAGAAAACAGCAAAAGTGAAGCCCATTTAATCCAAGATATTGATTGAGTTTCAGAAGTAGTGAACTGTAGTCTGTGCTCCAAGAGCCACTGCAGACGTATCGGCACATGTAGGGTGAACGAAGCCACTACTAAACCAGAGTCATCATGAGAGGCAAAGGCCTGAACTGTTCCTCAGTGGTCTGAACTCCTCCTTGAGATAAAAGAAACGTTTTCATTTCAATGCAAACTAACATTCCAGAGTCTGGAGAAAGAAAGTAAAAACACAGAATGAAGTCCAGTGAAAAAACGTTCAGTTTCCAACATTTAAGAAAATATTTCAGCTTGATTAACGTTGCTGGTCATACATTTGTAAGTTACAGTCAGGTGTGACAGAATAAAAGTTTCATAAAGCTTTTTCTCTCACCTTTGCTATCACATCGTTGCTATTAGATCTCTGGCAATAACACAGCACTGAAATTCAGTGTGATGAACTATTTTTAATCGGTGACTTGCTAAATTAGAAGGCATGAACTTTTGCTGTTTGCTACTCTGAAGCCAAAACTGCACAGGTTGAGTGCAGTACAAAGGCCGTCCTGTCAGGATAACTGCACAATAAAAAAACCAAACCTGATCCAAGCCCAACCAAGCAGAACAACAACAGCCATGATTATGAGGATATATCTAAAACACTGCTCTCACAGCCCTCGAACTCCTGGGTGGGCTGAGTGGTTCCCTCATCTCCAGCTTGGATCCTCTACCAGAAACCTGGGAGCTTGCAGGTTCTTTGCAGTATCTTAACTGTTCCTGGAACTGCCCCTGGTGCTCCAATGACCTCGGGTTCTACAGTCACTTTCACCTTCCAGGCTTTCCAGAATTCTTCCCTAAGGCCTTCGTATTTTTCTCATTTTTCGTGTTCTCTGTTCCTGAACTATCCATCATTTGGGATGGCCCGGTCAATCAATACGGTCATCCTCTACTTGCTTATCAACATTCACAATATCCGGTTGGTTGGCCACAAACATTTTGTCAGTTTGTATCTAGAGGTCTTAGAGCATCTTAGCTCTGTTATTCTCAACCTCCTTGGGAGGAGGCTCCCATTCTGACCTGGGGGTGCCCTGCATTCTGCACATAGGTTTCTGTACACTATACCAGCCACTTAGTTATGTCATTTAAAGTATTCTTTTACACCCTGCTGTGAGATGGTGGATTGTCTCTGGCGCCTCTTAGCATAGCCTGCTCCTGGGATCTTGCCTGGTAGATCTGGGCCTCTGTTGTCCAAAGCCTGCTCCTGTGCTGCCATAATCAGGTCTTTCTGTTGTGACTGTATAGGTTTGGAAACAACCAGTGCAGACAGAAGTCTAATGAACTAATGTTAAAGCAACCAACTTAGTTTTGGCATGAAGGTTAAGGGACTGTAATGTTGTAGGAATTGAAGCACAATGTGCCTTAATTTGCTGCCATGGGATGTTTATGACAACATTAACCGCATTCTGTCTCTATAATACCTCTCAGTGTGTTTGACCACCTGGCACAGGAATCCATCCGAATAGCTCAAATTCTACCTCCTACCATGTGTTCGTAGCTCGTATCCCTTCACCTTTCATGGGGTCAACAGTGATAACACTATCCATGACAGGAAAGGAGCTCCACACTGCAGTGCTCAATCCAGACAGCCTTCTGTCTTATTGATGACATTACATGGTGGACACATATACTTGCTGGTTAAATTGGGACTACACTAAACAAGAGTTACATATAGCGAACAGCTGAGGCTCTTAGTTATAAAACCCCAAACAGAGTACATGAGAAGAAATAATGTTTTCTTTTCACTCTGTGATTTTTGCCTATATAGTCAGGATGGGGTTCGTAAGCCTGCTGGAGGCAGAGGGACACCAGGAGGTCCTATGCTAAACAAATTGGTGCTAGGAATCCTGCTCCCTGGTCCTAGCTTCCTCCTGACTGCCAGCACTAATTGAATAGCACTAACTATAACTGCTGATACATTTCCTCCATGGCTTAAGTGTCCTTACCCATTTTAAGGTATTCAGCTGGAGCTCAAGTCGTTCAACATGCTTGAGTTACTCTCAGGAAGATACCAAATAAGCACAGGATGGGGCGCAGCATTGTTAATCCTACAGCTTTTGACTGACAGATTATTCATAAACACAGATGTCATAGATTTTGTTTGTCCAATAAATCATACATGAACATTATTCTCTAGTCTTTGTCTACACAATCAAAACTATCTTTTTTTGTTTATCAATTTATTTTGTTAGATTTTTTTTCACCTCTTAGACTCAGATTCATACAGAGCTGTTGATCAAACCAACATCTATACCTGATATCATAAATATAATCTAAGAAAAGATGTAATTTAGATAATAAATACCATCAGTGTTTAAATCAATTAACAAACAAGGAAGGTAGCTTGACCTACTTTTATAGTGTTCTGCAAATTAGCTTTACATTATGCAACACCTACTGCAATGTTTGGGTTGTTTGAGCTTCTGGATTTGTTTCTTTGATGAGGAAAGGTGTGTGAATTTGTGTTAGCACCTAAGTGTGCGTATGTGATGTGTGTATGTGTGCATGGCTGATTAGAGCCTCAAAGCCTTTAGAATCATCAGCTGCCACTAATGATTCTGTTAGATAACATATGACTGTAATTTAACTATTAAATATTAACTTTCAGAACTTGTTTGTCTGGAAATTAAACTGTTTAAAGAAAACAGATTCATTTTATTAGTGTAGGCTTGATCCTCTAGCCTGTTTTGATATAGAGAAAAATATAAAAGACATATTTGAAAAAAGATCTTGCCGTTTTTTTACTCGTAC